GTACTAACTGTTTAATGAGAAACTATTTGTTCTGTAAACCTTCATCTAAAGTACAGTAGAAAAAAAATAGTTCGGCTGTTAACCAAAAGGTCAGCAGTTCAAATCCACCAGCTGCTCCTTGGAAACCCTATGGGGCAGTTCTACACTGTCCTATAGGGTCACTATGAGTCGGAATCCACTTGATGGCAATGGGTAGTCTGAGAAAAAACAAAACAAAACAAAAACAAAACTGAACCAAAGATACGTAAAGTGTATGCAATACAGTTGGCTTTGTTTATGTTTATGGTCGCCTTGTTAAATAAAATTAAATAAAATATTTTATTTAAAATTTTTTAAATATTTATTTTTTAAATAAAATCTTCACGCCAGAGCAGGTTTCATTCTACAAAGTTATTGGGGATAGAAATATTAAACCTAAGGGAAGATACTTCCTATCAACCAGCTGGCTGGGGAGCTTCCTGGTTGGGCTGAATAGAGGTGGTACAGCTATGAGAGGAATTTAGTCCAGCAGATGAAGCTTCTCCTTACAATGTTCTCCTTTCATTTTATTTTATTTTTTTTCGACATGTTCTTCTTTTCTCTAGATGCCAGTCTTACTGACAGGCCTCTGAAGCTTTGTTTCTTGCTCCCTGGCTGAAGTGAGAATTGCTTTGGTGCGGGAAACAGTCCGACACTATTCCTCAGGTCCCTCCCAACATCCCAGTGGTGCTTGTGGAAAGAGAGGAAGGAAGGGGAGAGCAAGTCAACTGTCACTGCTATTTGATAGGAAATCCTGGAGCTGCGGAGCCCCCACACGGCAGAGTATGTGTGCGTGAGCAAAAGACAGTATTTGGCGACTGTGCTGGGAATGGGCAAATGGAACCAAAGTCACAGCTGCCTTGGACCTGAAGGAAATTTCTAATGTGATATTTTGTGGGTGTGGGTGAGAAAGCAGGGGGGAAAGTACATTTCTTCTGTACTTACTACACTTACAAGATGCTGTTATTTCATAGACATTGCTATGGATTGAACCGTGTCCCCCCTAAAAGAGATGTTGAAATCGTAAACCCTGGTACTTGTGAATGCAACCTTGTTTGGAAATAGAGCCTTTGAAAATGTTACCTGTTAAATTAACATGAAGTTATACTGGAGCAGAGAAGCCCTGGTGGCGCCATGCGTAAGCACTCATCTGCAAACCGAAAGGTTGGCGGTTCAAACCCACTAGTGGGTCCGCTGGAAAAAAGACCTGGCAATCTGCTCCTGTAAAGATTACAGCTTAGGAAACCCTATGGGGCAGTTCTCTTCTGTCTTATAAGGTCGCTATGAGTCTGAATGGACTCGATGGCACACAATAACAACAATACTGGAATAGGGTGGGTCCTGACCCTCTATGATTGATATCCTCATAAAAGAGGAGGAGAGACACAAAGGAAGGATGGCTATGTGAGGATGGTGCATCTACGAGGCACGGAGCGCCTGGGGCTACCAGACGCTGATAGCAACAAGGAAGGCTCTTCCCCTAGGAACTCTGGAGACAGCATGTTCCAGCTAACATGTTGGTTTGGATTACTAGCCTCCGAACTGTGAGACATACATACCTGTTCTTATAAGCCACCTAGTTTGTGGCATTTCGTATGGCAACCCTAGGAAACAAATGCACAGATCATCTCATTTGTTCTCAAACAACGCTTTCTGTGAGGTGGATATTATTCTCCTGATCTAAAGATGGTGGAACCATGGCCTAGAAAGATTAAGTAAGTTCACAAGATTACACAGCTTACAACTCAAAATGTAGGTTAGCCCGATTGCAAGGCCAGTGCTGCTTCTAGAACACTGTGAGGCTGTGGGATAGAAGTACATGCATCCGATCAGTGGATAGGGGAGAGGCAGTGCTTAGTTGGCTCAGTGACTGATTCAGTTAATTCTGGACTGTGCTGTGGCCTTGTTCTGCTGGCTGTTTTCCCAACGCTTGCTGCTCTGCATTATATTGCAGGGTAGACGCAGAGTCGGAGGAGGAGTGGGTGGGGAGAGGGAGGTACAAACCTACTGAATCTCAGAGCATCTGAACAACTCTTTAAGGTCCTGGGCTGGGCACAGTGGGTCTTTACTAGTTTAAAATATTTAAAATAGATATACTGAACAAGATGAGTGCTTGAGAGACATAGCTGTAGGAGAGAAATCATTCTTTCTTGGAAATGGCTTGTTTACTCCCTGATTTGTGTAAGCGAGGCATTATGGACAACTCTGGGAACAGGAAGCAGGGGCAGGACACACTATTCTGAACTTGGAGTTTATCCTTACCTAGAGGAGTCGGATGGGGAGGCTTCAGCTGTACCTGTACAGTTTCATTCTTTTAAGAAATATACAGCAGTAGCTGTCTGCACTTGTTAAATCTGTGCGGTGGGTACACAGATGTTTGTTACAATATTTTTCTATTTGAAATATTTCATAATTTAAATTAAAACACTGAAAAGCAGCAGACACAATTCTACCCATGACTCAGTGGAAGGACTGTGAAGTTTCAAAGTGAGGCAGAAACGATACCTCACTAAATAAAGTGAGTTGCATTATTTAGGCCATTTGTTGTTATTGTTGTTAGGTGCCATCGAGTCAGTTCCGACTTATAGCAACGCTGTGTACAACAGAATGGAACACTGCTTGGTCCTGCACCATCCTCACATTCATTGCTATGTTTGAGCCCATTGTTACAGCCACTGTGTCAATCCATCTTGTCAAGGGTCTTCCTCCTTTTCACTGACCCTCTGTCTTTGTCATCTAGTGCTGCTATAACAGAAATACTACAAGTGGATGGCTTTAACAAAAAGAAATTTATTTCTTCACAGTAAAGTAGGCTAAAAGTCCAAATTCAGGGCATCAGGTCCAGGGGAAAGCTTTCTCTCTCTGTTGGCCTTCTCATCAATGTTCCCCTGGACTAGGAGCTTCTCCGCGCAGGGACCCTGGGTCCAAAGGATGCGCTCTGCTTCTGGCAATGCTCTCTTGGTAGTATGAGGTCCCCCTGTGTCTCTGTTCACTTCTCTCTTTTATATCTCAAGAGATTGCCTCAGGACACAATCCAATCTTGTAGATTGAGTCCTGTCTCACTAACACAACTGCCGCCCATCCTCCCTCATTAACATCATAGAGGCGGGATTTACAACATACAGGAAATTCACACAATACCGGGAATCATGGCCCAGCCAAAGTGATACACACATTTTTTGGGAGACATAATTCAATCTATGACACCCTCCAAAGTATCCCATGAAGTCCATGTTGGGGTGTTGTTGCCTCAAAGTTATTCCTCATGTATAGTATTAAAAACCACCACCACAACAACAGCAAGATACGTATATAAAATACTGCTTTAGACATATAGCCAGAGGGGAAGATAAGATTAGATAAAGTTCCAAGCACTTATCGAACAACAAAGAGTCATTAAACTCATTAAATCTATTTGGACAAGTTGCATAATACCCTACAGGATTTCATGTTTTGAAAACTATCATTCTGGGAAAGGAAATAACGTTAGGATCACATTCTACCTGTCTACCATCCTTTCTACTCTGTAAAGCATGTTTTTATACATGATCTCAATTGATTTTCACAGCTTCTCTGACAAGACATAGAAACAGAGAAGTTATGCAATTCACTTAACTTCGGAGTTGGTTAGTGACAGATCCAGGCCTTCACCCCACTCCCCAGATGCCTGGTATAAGGATTTGTTCCCACCATGTCCCGCCATCCCTGCCTCCTCTCCCCCTTGCCAAGACGTCTTGAAGTGGACCTACTTGTTCATGAGACCACGTCCTTTCTGAACCATCCTTGACACAGATGTCCAGCCTCAGCTCTGTTCCTGTGGCTCCATGCTTGCTGTCCACACACAGATTTGCTGCCACATTTCGAATCTGTGGAAAGAAGAAAAATGTTGAGCATGGGATTGCTTTTTTTTTTTGTACCCCCACCTCTTTTTTTTATCGTTAAAAATTTTTAAATTTTTTTATTGTACTTTAGATGAAGGTTTACAGAACAAATAGTTTCTCATTAAACAGTTCTTATGACAATGTTTAATAACCCCATGACATGACAACACTGCCCCTTCTCTACCTTGGGTTCCCTATTACCAGCCTTCCTGTCCCCTCCTGCCTTCTAGTCCTTGTCCCTGGACTGTTGTGCCCCATTAGTCTCATTTTGTTTATGGGGCTGCCTAATCTTTGGCTGAACGGTGAACTTCGGCAGTGACTTTGCTACTGAGCTAAAAGGGTGTTGTGGGGGCCATACTCTCAGGGTTTCTCCAATCTCTGTCAGGCAGTAAGTCTGGTCTTTTTTTGTGAGTTAGAATTTTGTTCTACATTTTTCTCCAGTTCTGTCTGGGACTCTCTGTTGTGATCCTGGTCAGAGCAGTCAGTGGTGGTAGCTGGGCACCATTTAGTTGTACTAGACGCAGACTGGTGGAGGCCGTAGTAGTTGTGGTCTATTAGTCCTTTGGACTAATCTTTTCCTTGTATCTTGTTTTCTTCATTCTCCCTTGTTCCAGGAGGGGTGAGACCAGTGGAGTATCTTAGATGGTTGCTCACAGGCTTTTAAGACCCCAGAGACTACTCACCAAGGTAGAATGTAGAACATTTTCTTTATAAACTATGTTATCCCAGTTGAGCTAGATGTTTCCCGAGACCATGGTCTCCACAGCCCTCCGCCCAGCAACTCAGTCCCTCAGGGAGTTTGGATGTGTCTGTGGAGCTTCCATGACCTTTCCTTTGTACCCCCACCTCTTGACAATCCTGGTATCAATTAGGTAATAAATACATTTTTTACATGACTATCGAATGCTGTATTGAACTTGTATGCAACTTACGGAGAAGAAGCGGGGAATTAAATATGGCAGGTTCTAGTCCATCACCTGTCTGTCAGTTTCTCGTACTGTGGTAGTTTGCGTGCTGCTGTGATTCTGGAAGCAATGCCACTGGTATTTCAAATACCAGCAGGGTCACCTATGATGGACAAGTTTCCATGCAGCTTCCAGACTAACACAGACTAGGAAGAAAGGTCTGGCAATTTACTTCCAAAAATTAGCCAATGAAGACCTTATGGATCCCAACAGAAGATTGTCTGCTATAGAGCTGGAAGTTGCAAGCATACCAAGGATCGTGAAGGTGACACAGGACCGGGCAATGTTTCCTTCTGTTATACACAAGGTCACCATGCTTCGGAGTTGATTTGATAGTAGCTAACAACAACATAACAAATCTACACGTACAAACATGAGATGGTTAAGTAGTAAAACTACAATTGGCTGCAGCAAACGAATGCGTGTTGATATGACGAAGAGAGTAGCCAAGAGTTCGTAAGATGAGAGACTTTTCTTTTTTCAGAGAGTTAACTTCTTCCTGCTGCAAAGCATCTTTTACCATTATCACCTTAGCTGGGGGGGAGATTTAGTAAGAGGCATGTGATGCAAGAGAAGTATGTGTTGGGGTGAATCACTTAGCATTGCATAGTTCTCTTTAGGACACGATAACCTTATATTCTTGTTTGCCTGGGAGGATCTTGGTCTACCCTTGTGGTCCTGGTTTAGCATTTCTCTTGGATAAGTTAAATGTCATCCTAGAGAAGTAGGAAAATACAAAAAACAGTACAATTGTTGTAACACTATCCTACTCAAAATTCTGTACTTAAAGCTTGAACTTTGAAAAATTGCAGAGAGAGAAAATGCCTGAAGTTGCTGTTGTTAGGTGCCGTTGACTCTGACTCATAGGTGCTGTTCTGACTCATAGCAACCCTATGCACCACAGAACGAAACACTGCCTGGTCCTGTGCCATGCTCGCTATTGTTGTTATGTTTGAGCCCATTGCTGCAGCCACTGTGCCAATCCATCTCGTTGAGGGTCTTCCTCGTTTTCACTGATCCTGTACTTTACCAAGCATGATGTCCTTCTCCAGGGACTGATCCCTCCTGACAACATGTCCAAAGTATGTGAGATGTAGTCTCGCCATCCTTACTTCTAAGGAGCATTCTGGTTGTACTTCTTCCAAGAGAGAAAATGCCTGATAATTCTCTACAATTATTATATTAGCCTTGATATAAGGCACCGAATAGTTAGAGTGGGAAATAGGTAGGCTATAAAAATGATCAGCCGCAGAGGCCACAACAGAAGCAAGGTAGGGAAGGAGATGTGTCCCTTTGTCATTGCTATGGAAAGAGTTCACCAATTCTCCTGTTAGTGTCAGACACACACCATGTAATAGAGTTGAATATTCTTTGTCGTTTGTTACTTAGGTTTGCACGCTTAGGTAAGATGTTTAGTAAACTACATATCTCAGTTGATTCTTTTTCTGACTTTATATACTCCTGGACTATAATACAGCTAGTCCCCAATTTACGACGTATTCGATTTATGATGAATCGCACTTACGATGTCCAGATTTTTTTATACGTCTAACCATTAGCAATATGGACTACATACAATGTTGCAGCATGTTAATTTGCTGATGTTATCATTCTCCAATGTTCATTCGCAGATGTTCAACGTTAAGATTTACTGTTCAAACACTGCCATGGCCTGGTCTACAATGAAGTCTTTGTTGGTGTCGGTGTGAGTCCTGATGGATAGAAAGTTGAGCAGTGTTCAACTCTAATGGCACACCACAATTGAACTGCGTACATGCCCGACAGCCATTACGATTCCGATTTCATTGTTATGACACTGACATCAACAAAGATCAGATTTAAGAAGATACTGATAATGAAAGGCAATACTAAAGCAAACTAAAAAAAAAAAGAAGTATTTGACTTAGGTTAGAACTGACTTATGATAGAGTCACTGAAATGGAACCCTATCTTAAGTCGGGGACTACTTGTACTCCCTTCAGGTATTGTTAAGAGCAGAAAGAAGAACAGCATGACTCCAGCTGACAATTTTGGTCAAGGTTCTTTTGCCTGGAATGAATAGATAAGGTGAGGTGTACCTTCCCATCAGAAAAATGCCTGAACTGGGCCTATTTCGATTGAGACGGGGCAATGGGGCAAAGAGAAGATTGTCATGAAATATACTAGTATGGGAGTCCCTGAGTGGTGCAAATAGTTAACGCTTTCAGCTGCTAAACAAAAGGTTAGTGGTTTGAGTCCACCCGAAGGTGCCTGAAAAGAAGGCCTGGCATCCTACTTCTGAAAAAGCAGCCATTGAAAATGCTATGGAGCACAGTTCTATTCTAACACACACGGCAAGTTCCCCCTAGTTGGGGTTGGCTCGAGAGCAACTGGTTACTGGATCATGGAAGGAATGGATGACGGTGGGATGGGGATGGTGGTGAAGGGAGCTACTTCATAGTTCATCTCCTTTTGGGATAGAGGTTGATATAATGCCATCCTGCAGAGAATCAATGTGGCGGATACCAATTTCCTTGTTTAGGAAATTTGGCAACAGGTTGGGATCATCTCTACTATTGGATCTCTATTTCAGGATCTCTGTTTCCAAAGCTAGGAGAATGTGAAATGATATAGGATACAGGGCAATAGTTCTTAACCTGAGTATCCTACAGACCTCTGTGCAAATCCAAGGGAAGCTATGGACACTCTTGCAAAAGCAAGCAAACAAAAACAAACAGAGCCACAAGTGAATACACACAAGGAGCTTTGTATGCACTTGCCTGGAGCTCATAAATTCCAGCTTAGAAACTGGAATTAGGGAAAGTGCTTGCATCTCGTCTCTTGCAAACCCACTGCATTCCTCCTCTTCGCAGCCTGGGAGACTCTGGAAAAGTTTGGAGTGAACTTGGCTGGTTCTGGAGAACGTTCTGAGAAAAGTTCCCCGATTTCACTCTCATAGCTTTGACCTTTTCTCCACCTTTCCTAAAACAATGTACCAGAGAGGAATTGTACTCTGGAATTGGGGAAGCCAAGTTTAAAATATGCCTGTTAAATTCACTCCTCCATGTGTGATAGAGTATTTCTGGGGAAATAGAAACAACCTGAAGGTTAAAGGTAGATTTTGCTCTCTGCCTTGAGCCCGGCACACTCCATAAAGCTCCCGTTTGGTCTTCTCATCGGAGTCCAGTGTGTGGATTTTCTACAGTTGTCTGTGACCTTTGAGCCACCTGACAGAACTCTGGGCAGGACTTTCTTCTCATTTTTGGGCCATTTAACTCAAGACCCAGGCTTGTTAGAGAACAAGTATCAATTTATACCAAAGACGTTTTCAGGGCACTGTTGCACCCGATACTTGAGTCTAGGAGCTTTGACCCACAATCAGGGAAGAGAAGTGGCTGCTTATATTGGAGCCCCGATGGCGCAGTGGTGAAGAGCTTGGCTACTAACCACAAGGTCGCCAGCTCAAATCTGCCAGCCACTCCTTAGAAACTCTGTTGGGGGCAGTTCTACTCTGTCCTATAGGGTCGCCATGAGTCAGAAGTGACTTGACAGCAATGGGTTATAGGCTTATAGGAGTCCCTGGGTAGTGCAAAGAGTTAACGTGCTCAGCTGCTATCCTAAGGGTTGGTGGTCCAAGTCTACCCATAGGTACCTGAGAAGAAAGTCCTGGCGATCTACTTCTGAAAAATCAGCTACTGAAAACCCTACGAAGCACAGTTCTACTCTGACACACATGGGGTCACCATGAGTCAGAATTGACTCGATAGCAACTGCTATAGGTTAACGGCCACCTTGGCCACCGAGGGAGAAGTTTGCCTGCCTCTGTCAGCTGGCATCCATGCTTACTCACTGGGGCAGCTCTGCTTTTGGAAAAGGAGGATGTGGGGAAGAAGAAAACATAAACAAGGCAGGACAGTGAGTGGCAAACTTGCCAAATCAGCCTGTGGGTAGACACCAAAGTCTGTTAGAGAGCCTCGTTTCATTTTTAAACGCTGTGAACTCCAGAGGGCTCTGGCCCGATAGAGACTATCATTTTCTGAA